TGAGCAGGCAGCGGGGCCGCGTCGGAGCGGGCGGCGGGGCCGCGTCTGAAGGGGCGGGCGGGGCCGCGTCCGAAATGGGCGGCGGGGCCGCGTCCGAAGTGGGCGGCGGGGCCGCGTCTGAAATGGCGGCGGGGCCGCGTTCGAAAGGGGCGGCGGGGCCGCGTCTGAAAGGGCAGCGGGGCCGCGAGGGAAGGGCGACACGGAGGGTCGCTCGAGAGAAAGGAAAAAAAAAAAAGGTTAGCGCGCCTCGGGGCGCGCTTCGGTGGGCCCTAGGCGAAGTTCCCACAGGGAACCCGCTCTATACCATGTGAGAATACTAGAACAGGAATGAAAATGACTAAGTGAAAGTTGGGTACAAATACAAACCCTAGAGAGCTGTACCCCATATGTGCTACCCCACTATAGCCTACAACAGCTATGTCATATATATCTGACAAGTTTCCCCCGACGGAGGCTCCTCTGCAAACCCTTCACATGGACATGTGGGGCCCAGCCCGCGTCCATGGACAGGGCGGAGAGCGCTACTTCTGCTGGTAGTTGACGACTACACGCGTTACACCATGGTCTTCCCCTTGCGCACCAAGGGAGAGGTCCCTGCTGTCTTGATCCCTTGGATCCGCGCTACCCGTCTCTAGCTGAAGAGGCGCTTTCGCACGGACCTTCCCGTCCTGCGACTGCACTCTGACAGAGGTGGTGAGTTTTCCTCCGGCCTCTTGGATGCCTTCTGTGAGGGGGAGGGCATTGAGTAGACGTTCACGCTTCCGGCCTCTCCTCAGCAGAATGGGGTTGCTGAGCGCCGCATTGGCTTGGTCATGGAGGTCGCTCGTACCTCCTTGGTCCATGCGGCTGCCCCCCATTTTCTGTGGCCGTTTGCGGTCCGCTACGCCGCGCATCAGCTCAACCTCTGGCCCCGTGTCTCCGCTCCGAAGACCTCGCCGACTGTGCGTTGGACGGGAAAGGTTGGCGATGCATCTGTGTTCCGTGTCTGGGGATCTCGTGCCTTAGTCCGTGATACGTCCGCGGACAAGCTCTCCTCCCGCGCCGTTCCTTGTGTCTTCCTGGGCTTTGTCCCTGACGCGCCTGGCTGGCAGTTTTACCACCCCACCTTGCGCTGTGTCTTCCCCTCTCAGGACGTCACGTTTGACGACTCGGTCCCCTTTTACCGTCTCTTCCCTTACCGTACTGCCCCGCTCCCCCCTCCGCCGCTCTTCCTGACGCCAGGTGCTGCTTTGGTAGACCACCCGCCTCCCCAGGGTCCTGCTCCCTCAGGTGTTTCCCAGGTAGACCCGGTCGAGCCTGTCGAGGTAGCTGTTGACTCTGGCCCTGTGTGAGGTACTGAGCGTGCTAAGCCTGAGCGTGCTGAGCCTGGTGGTGCTGGGTCTGGGGGTACTGAGACTGGGGGTGCTGAGCCTGGGGGTGTGGAGACTGGGGGTGCTGAGCCTGGGGGTGCGGAGACTGCGGGTGCTGAGCCTAGGGGTGCGGAGACTGCGGGTGCTGAGCCTGGGGGTGCTGTGTCTGGGGGTGCCGAGCCTGGAGGTCCTGAGCCTGGAGGTAGTGCGCCTGGGGGTGCTCTCTCTTCCCAACAGCTGCGTGAGTGGTACTCTCGATACTGTCGCCGCCGCCGTGGTGCTGTGGGAGCTGGAGGTGCCGCTGGAGCTGGAGCTGAGGGTGCTGGACCCACTGGAGTTGGTGTCGCTGCTGACCTGGGGGTTGGCGCTGGAGGTGTGGGAGCCACTGGTCCTCGAGGTGCTCGTCCTGGCGGTACTGCAGCTGCTGGGACTGGGGGTGCTACTGGAGCTGCTGGAGGTGCTACTGGTACTGGGTCTGGTGGTGCTACAGGGGCTGGAGCTGGAGGTGCTGACACTCGTCCTTCTGCTGGAGCTGGTGCTACTGGGGGTACTGGAGTTGGTGCTACTGGAGCTGCTGGTGGTGCTGCAAGAGTTGGAGCTGCTGCTGGAGGTTCTGGTGCTGTCTCTGCTGGTTCAGGGGGCACTGCACGGCCGCGGCCGTACTTCGTTCCGCTTCTTCAGCAGGTTCTTGGTCAGCCGCCTCCTTCTTGTCTTGCTCCCTCCTTAGAGTGTCCTCCGCGTGTCCACTCGAAGTCACAGCTACAGCCTGCCTCGCCACTCCCTGGTCCCTCTCCCTACACTAGTCCGATAGGAGGTCTTACGGAGCGTCGTGAGCCTGAGTCTCGTCCTGTGTCGCCTGAGTCTCGTTCTACGTCACCTGTTCGTGCTGCTCGCACTGGTCGTCGTGTCCCGCGTCAGCGTCCTCCTGCTGTCCCAGGCACTCACTAGATGACGCTTCGTCCTTCCACTGCTCCACAGCGTGTCCCTCTGCCTTCTCCTCCTGCGTCCTCCCTTCCTGCCCTTGCTGACCCGGAGTCTGACTCTCTTCGTGCTGCTAGTCCTACTGTCACGCGTCTCCTGGCCACTGCTGTCACTGACCCTTCCTTTGAGTCAACTGCTGCGTCTGCCTTAGTTGCTGAGCTTGTTGACTTTGCTGCTCACTATTGCCTAGACTACGCTGCGAGTCTTGTTGCAAAGTCTGAGTCGGAGTCTGTTTGTCCTCCGTCCGTCGGGGGTGAGTGTGCTCTTGGCACAGACGTCTTTGAGGACAGGCAGGAGGAGTTTGAGTGCTTTGCCGCCACTGTACCTCATCTTGTGGCCATGCTGCTTGCACCTGAGGGAGACCCGGATGCTCCAGACATCCCGACCCCGCGCTCTTACGCTCAGGCGATCGCGGGTGAGTACTCCTCTCAGTGGCAGACAGCCATGGACGCAGAGATGGCAGCCTGGAAGTCCACTGGCACTTACGTTGACGACGTTCCCCCTCCTGGGGCGAACATCGTCAGTGGCATGTGGGTTTTCACGGTGAAGCGGCCGCCAGGTTCTCCGCCTGTCTTCAAGGCTCGTTACGTTGCTCGAGGCTTCAGTCAGCGAGAGGGAGTAGACTTCTTCTAGACCTTCTCCCCTACCCCGAAGATGACCACTCTTCGGGTGCTGCTGCACGTTGCCGCTCAGCGTGACTACGAGCTTCACTCTCTTGACTTCAGCACAGCTTTCTTGCAGGGCAGCCTGCACGAGGAGATCTGGCTGCGCCGCCCTCCTGGCTTCACTGGGTCGTTTCCTCCTGGTACCCAGTGGAGCCTCCGACGGCCGGTCTACAGTCTCCGGCAGGCGCCACGTGAGTGGCACGACACACTAAGGACTACACTTGCGGCTCTTGGGTTCGCGCCTTCCACTGCTGACCCGTCGCTGTTTCTGCGCACCGACACTTTGCTGCCGCCGTTCTACATCCTTGTGTACGTCGACGACTTAGTCTTTGCCACTGCTGACACTGAGGCTCTCGTCCACGTGAAGTCGGAGCTGCAGAAGTGACACACGTGCACAGACCTGGGTGAACTTCGCAGCTACCTTGGCTTGCAGATCACCCGGGACAGAGCACGCCGCACCATCACCCTGACTCAGTCACACATGGTGCAGAAGGTCCTTCAGCGCTTCGGCTTCACCTGGTCCTCGGCACAGGCCACTCCTCTGGCTACAGGTTACTCGCTCTCATATCCACCTTCGAACAAGTCCGTAGAGCCGAGTGGTCCTTACCCAGAGCTAGTTGGCTGCCTCATGTACTTGATGACTTGCACTCGTCCTGACCTCGCGTACCCTCTTGGTCTTCTGGCTCGCTACGTGGCTCCTGGTCGGCACAGACCTGAGCATATGGCTGCTGCTAAGAGGGTACTACGCTACTTGTGCAGTACATCAGGCATGGGGCTAGTGCTTGGAGGGAAGAGCCCAGTTGTCCTCACTGGGCACTCAGACGCTTCTTGGGTTGACGACCAGGCTACTCAGCGGTCGTCACAGGGTTACACCTTCAGCCTTGGCTTTGGTTCAGTTTCTTGGCGTTCTACACGCTCGACTTCAGTTCTCAGCTCCAGTTGTGAGGCTGAGATCTACGCCACAGCCATGGCTGCACAGGAGTTACGCTGGCTCACCTACCTGCTGACTGACTTGGGAGAGCGGCCTTGTTCTCCTTCAGTGCTGTACGTCGACAACAAGACTACCATTGCCTTGTGTGAGGAGCACAGACCGGAGCACAGGACGAAGCACATCGCTCTGTGTTACTTCCTGGCTCGAGAGTTGCAGCAGCGTTGTCAGCTTCGTCTGCGTTACGTGGCCACTTGGGCCAACACTGCTGATATATTCACCAAGGCACTTCAGTCTGGTGATCATCAGCGTTTCTACACTATGCTAGGGCTTGTGCCCACTTTTTCTCACTTGGTGTAGGCTTTGCTTGTACTGTGAACTATATATATATATATATATATATATATATATATATATATATATATATATATATATATATATATATACCTGCATGCTTGCTTTGCTAGGTAGAGATCACTGTGATGTTTGTGTTGCATATATGCCTCTGCATGTGAGCTGGCCTTGTGGCCCTTTGCTTGTGCTCAGTGTGTGTGTTGACGTTGTGATCCACCCTGAGCTTGCTTTGCCTTTCTTGACTGGTCTTGTGACCCCTTGCTCTCCCCCACTTTGCCTATGGGGGTGTGTCTGATGTTATATCTGCTACAGTTTGTTTAGGCTGTAGTGGGGTCGTTACTATGGGGTACAGTAAGTTTAGGGTTTCCTACTTGTACCCAACTCTTTCATAGTTCAGTCACTCTTGTTGATTCTAACAGTTGGGGCGTGACTTTCTAAAGCGGTTCAGCCCTGAGATCAACTGGGTGCGTCGGAAGGTGTAAATCTACAACAATGGGAAACGTGTGGAGCCGCGAAGCTGGATGGATTCAGGGATGTTCCAGAAATGACTCTTGCACGGTTTGAATGGACAAAAAACGAGAGTAACACAGGTTACTCAGCACTAGTGATGGCAGACACACCTTCATCACCTGGGTGCACTCAGGATCTCTAAAGAAAATATAATCCACCTAGATAGTCATATTCAAAATGTGGACAGCCACATGAAGGGGGTATGCCAAACTGTTATCCAAACGAGTCCTCAAGGGATCCTGTATTACCTCCTTCTCCTCCTCGCTCAAGCGTCACTCCTCGCCCTCCAACGGCGTCGTCAACTCCTCCGTCAGCTGTAGCATGATGTTGTAGATCACTCCTATCAGCCCCTTTGCCGCCGAATCTGTCCTCTTCATCACCATGAGGGGCAGCAGCTCCACGACCTTTACAAAAGATATCCACCTTCTTCCACCATATCCCCTCCATCATCCACCCCTCGAACTGCTCTTCTGCCGCCTTCTTCCCCCTCGCCTTTGAATCGTCGTGCACCACCATCCGTGTAAGCTGTGGGCGAAGCTTGCAAAGACAAGACACTGGGATGTATAAGAACCCAAAACACATACCCGTTGGTCGCAATGCCTACAGCGTCTTCCCGCCGTGCAACCCGGGACTCCACAGGAAAAGCGTGCGCCCACTGGTGGATGCGAGGGAACGTGGTCATATCTTTTGCTTGGTCGACCAGTGCCTGCGCCCTCTTTAGCTTGCCGATGTCCCCCGTCAGCAAGTCCAGCACGTGGGAGGTGCAAGGGACGACCTCGATATGCAGCCACTTGAGCAGCAGCAGCTTGTAGGCGGCCGTCCATGGAAAGCCGGATGACGTGCTCCGACTCGATCTTTTGGGTCATCGTATGCGGGATAGGGAGAGGTAGTGCGTGATAAGAGAGTCGAACTCGCGTGAGACAGCGGGGCGAGCTGTACAGTAGTATCCATCAATGAGAGGCAGTGAAGAAACAGTGAGAGCTGACGAAGGAGGCAACGTGATGACTGACGAAGGAGGCAACGTGATGACTGACGAAGGCAGAGAAGGAGAAGAGTGACGAACATATAGGGAACAATGAGAGGTTCAAAGGGATTGGACAACAGGAGGAGATGGTCGTGACCGAGCGGGAGCGGAGTCCGGAAGAGGAAACATAGGACCGTGAGCACGAAGAGACGGTGAGCAGCCAGAAGGAGAGGAAGGAAGACCAAGGGTCCAAAGACTACTCACAGGTGGCAACGACCGCTGCAGTAGTGGCTGTTGTGGCGTCTGCTGCTTTTGCTGCTGCTACACCTGCTACTGCCGCTCCTACTGCTCTAGGTGCCGAAGATGCTCAAACATTCTCATGTAACGGTGACCAGATGGAGCAGGCGTCGTAGCACCAGCATCTCCTGCACTAGCACCCACAGAGCTAGCACCTTCAACACTAGTGCCTCCAACTCCAGCAACCCAAGAACCAGCACCTCGAACTCCAATTCCACCACCTCCTGCACCTCCAGCTCCAGCACCCCAAGCACCAGCATCTCCAGCTCCAACACCCCCTGTACCAGCACCTCCAGTGCTAGCACCTCTATTCACAGTACCACCGACACCAGCTCCCTTAGAACGAGCACCTCCAACACCAATCCTTTCGTGATGTGGTGAATGTGAAGACGACTGTGGTGAAGGAGACAACGCCGGACGTGCTACCGAGGGAGGAAGGGTAGCGTGAGACACACCTGGTGGGGCAGGAATTGGGTGGGGTGGATGTACCAGAGGAGCACGACTAGGAGGAGGAGCACGACCAGGAGGAGGAGTAAGATCCAGGTTAGAGGTATCACGATCATGCGCATGGTAGTCCAAGACACGAAACCCTGACGCAACACCAAGGGACCAAGGTCAGCGACAGGATGGTGAAACCTTCAAGCAAGAGAGACGTTGCCAGATGTTCAGCTGGTAGGCGGTGTAACGAACCGAGTAGGGCCACAAGAAATAGGGCGCACATGCATGGACGATGGAGGTGCGGGCAATCTCGTTGACCAAGCCTATGCGACGCTCGGCAACCCCATTCTGCTGTGGTGACTCTAGAAGCATCCAGGACTAGGTGAAGCCGTGCTTATCAGAGCGAATCTCACCCCCACGGTCGTAGTGGAGACTAAGGACAAGGAGGCCACGATGGCCATTAGTGAACAGCAACCACGGGATCAGGGTAGAAGATACGTTGGGCTTCTACCATAGGGGGAACACCGTGGTGTAGCGAGAGAAGTTGTCAACCACCACTAGGAGGAAGTGCTCGTCCTTTGATCTAATAATTGGGGCTGGGCCCCAGACGTCCAAGTGTAGAGTTTGGAGGGGTGTGGCGGCTGGCGCAAGGGAGGAGGACTGAGGGGTGGCACTCTGCCTACCCTCGACACAAGGAGTGCATGCTGGCGCAGGCGACGGGGGGAGCGACGGAAGCAAGGATGGGAGACCCGAGACAAGACCGTGCCTAGACATGTGGCGGAGACGTATGAGTGAGGGAAGACCAAGATGCTGGTGAGCGACCGACAGGAGCACAACGCAGCAACCTGACCAGACGCAACTACCTTGGGGAATGCAGTGTGCAGTAATATGAGACCTGAGCGGGGCTCTTGGGAGAAGGTCGCAATAAGCGCCTTAGTAGAAGCGTCCGTACATGTCGCAAACCTCTCATGTGTAGAAAAAGTGGCCGTCCTAAAGGTCTCCAAAACGCACCAAGTTTCTTGATGGTGAGTTTGTCGAGAGGGCGGTACTTTATGCACATGCGATAAAAATTGCATACCATTCACTAAAGGTTGCCGATTGTCACATGTTCACCAATTTGCAAAATTTCATGTGGCAAGTTCGCATTTTCCCTGTTACAGATTGGTACGACCAGTCAAGCAAAGCAAAGCAAAGCAAGCTCAGGGTGGATCACAAAGTCACCACACATTCCGAGCACAAGGTCAAGGCCACAAGGCCAGTTCACATGCAGGAGTACATATATATATAAAAGGCTAGACGAGCAAGAGCACGTGTATATATATATGTAACAGTACAAGCAAGGTCAAGAGGTGAGCAAGTGAGGCAAGGCAGGCACAAGACCCAGCTGAGTACAGACGCGCTGATGATCACAAGGCGCAAGCGCCTTGGTGAAGATATCAGCAGTGTTGGCCTCAGAGGCCACGTACGCAAGACGCAGCTGACCACGCTGCTGCGGCTCACGAGCAAGGAAGTAGCGGAGAGCAATGTGCTTCGTTCTGTGCTCCAGTCTCTGCTCTCGACACAAGGCCAGCATGGCCTTGTTGTCTACGTACAGCACTGGAGGAGAACGAGGCGGCTCTCCGAGGTCAGTCAGCAGGTAGGTGAGCCAGCGAAGCTCCTGTGCAGCCATGGCCCCGGCGTAGATCTCAGCCTCACAACTGGAGCCGAGAACAAAAGACGAGCGGGTAGCCCGCCACGAAACAGAGCCGGAACCAAGGCTGAAGGTGTAACCCTGTGACGACCGCTGCGTAGCCTGGTCGTCAGCCCAAGAAGCGTCTACATGCCCTGTGAGGACCACTGGACTCTGCCCTCCAAGCACAAGCCCCATGCCTGACGTACTGCACAAGTAGCGCAACACCCTCTTTGCTGCAGCCATGTGCTCCGGTCTTTGTCTCCCAGGAGCAACATAGCGTGCGAGAATGCTAAGAGGGTATGCAAGGTCAAGTCGAGTGCAGGTCATCAAGTACATGAGGCAGCCAACAAGCTCTGGGTACGGGCCACTCGACTGTACGGACTCATCCGAAGGCAGAGCTGAGAGCGAGTGGCGAGTAGGCAGAGGAGTGGCCTGAGGCGAGGAGTACGTGAAGCCGAAGCGCTGAAGGACCTGCTGCACCATGTGTGACTGAGTCAGGGTAATGGTGTGGCGTGCTCTGTCCCGGGTGATCTGCAAGCCAAGGTAGCTGCGCAGTTCACCCAGGTCTGTGCACGTGTGTCTCTTCTGCAGCTCGGACTTCACGTGGGCGAGTCCAGCAGTGTCAGCTGTGGCAAAGACCAAGTCGTCGTCGTACACGAGGATGTAGAGCGGCGGCAAAGAAGTGTCGGTGCGCAGAAACAGCGACGGGTCGGCAGTAGAGGGAGCAAACCCAAGAGCCGCAAGTGTAGTCCTCAGTGTGTCGTGCCACTCACGCGGTGCCTGGCGAAGACCGTAGACTGGCCGCCGGAGGCTCCACTGGGTGCCAGGAGGAAAAGACCCAGTGAAGCCAGGTGGGCGGCGCAGCCAGATCTCCTCGTGCAGGCTGCCCTGCAAGAAAGCAGTGCTGAAGTCAAGAGAGTGAAGCTCGTAGTCACGGTGAGCAGCTATGTGCAGCAGTACCCGAAGAGTGGTCATCTTCGGGGTGGGAGAGAAGGTCTGAAAGTAGTCAACTCCCTGCCGCTGGCTGAAGCCACGAGCCACGTAACGCGCCTTGAAGACAGGCGGAGAACCCGGCGGCCGCTTCACCCTGAAAATCCACATGCCACTGACGATGCTCGCCCGAGGCAGGGGAACCTTGTCAACGTAGGTGCCTGTGGACTTCCAGGAAGCCATCTCTGCGTCCATAGCTGCCTGCCACTGAGAGGAGTAGGGACCCTCTATCGCCTCTGCGTAAGAGGGCGGAGTCGGGATGTCAAGTGCATCCGGGTCTCCCTCAGGGGTAAGGAGTACGGACACGAGATGAGGTGAAGCAGCTGCCAGACACTGGAACTCCTCCTGCCTGTCCTCAAGGACGTCCGTGCCAAGGGCACACTCACCCCCGACGGACGGAGGACAGACAGACTCAGACTCAGCAACAAGACTGGCGGCGTAGTCTAGGCGACAGCGAGCAGCAAAGTCGACGAGCTCAGCAACTAGGGCAGACGCAGAAGTGGACTCAAAGGAAGGGTCAGTGACAACAGTAGGAAGGAGACGCGTGACAGTAGGACTAGCAGCACGAAGAGAGTCCGACTACGGGTCGGCAAGAGCAGGAAGAGAAGACTCAGGAGGATAAGGTAAAGGGGCATGCAGAGGAGCAGTGGACGGACGCAGAGACATCCGGTGCGTGCCAGGGACAGGAGGAGGACGCTGACGCGAACCGCGACCACTAGTGCGAGCAGCATGGACAGGCGACGCAGGGCGAGACGCAGGCTCACGACGCTCAGCAAGACCTCCAGTAGGACCAGTGTAGGGAGACGGAGCAGGCAGTTGGGAGGACGGCTGTAACTGTAACTGTGACGGGACAGGCTGTGGACACTCTAAGGGAGGAGGAGGACCAGTAGAAGGCCGGAGACGAGGAACCTGCTGAAGGAGCGGAACGAAGTACGGCCGACGCCGCACGGCGACTCCAGACACAGCAGGGACAGCACCAGTACCCCTAGCGGCAGCACCAGCACCAGCAGCACCTCCAGCTCCAGTACCTCCAGCAACACCAGTAGCACCCCCAGCAGGACCGCCTCCAGGACCGACAGCAGTAGCCTCCGCGCCAACACCCGCAGCAGCTCCAACTCCAGAAGTACCCGCAGGCCCAGCAGCTCCAGTGCTCCCAGTACGAGCACCTCCGGGACCCGCGGCACCAGCACCCTCAGCAGCAGCAGAACCTCCAGTACCCGCAGCACCTCCAGCTCCAGCAGCTCGCCTCCAGCGCCGGGCAAACCACTCACGCAGCTCCTGTGGAGAGAGTGGCTCCCGGCGAGACGAAGCACCCGCAGAACCGCCAGGCACAGCACCGCCAGACGCCACACGAGCAGGCCCAGCTCCCTCAGGCTCAGCACCTCCAGGCTCAGCACCTCCAGGCGTAGCACCCCCAGGCGTAGCACCCCCAGGCTCAGCACCCCCAGGCTCAGCACTCCCAGGCTCAGCACCCCCAGGCTCAGCACCCCCAGCCTCAGCACCCC